ATAATGGGAATCGGATTCAAAACCGAGTAACTTAATTTGGATTTCGTACAAAAGAAGAAACAGTAAGTCTCTTCAAAGTCACGAGTGTACAGAAAATGAATTTAAAACCTTTTTTGTGAATACGATAGAAGAAAATATAAAAAAATAGCTAGTTTTACAATGTGGCAATTTATTGAAAGTTTGGTATAGTAAATAAAAGTCCACAAAAAGAATATACGTGAATATACAAGATTTTATTTTGTAGTTTATATTTATTTGCAGTATTTAGTTATAAAGTGAGGATCTTTTGGAGCTTGAACGCGTCCTGAATATTTACATTTGCGGCCATTAGTTCACAGTTTTTGGTAGGAATTGTGCTAAATGCTCTCTATAATATGCCATAAATGCCATATTATTCTATTAGTAGTTTTTTGGAAAAGTTATGAAAACTACAAAAAAAATTTTACTTGTTCTTCACGTCGTTAATATTTACATTTGCGACAATTCGTTCACATTATTATATTTAAGAGTACATGTGCTTAAAATAATGCCAGACAAAGCTTCTCGAAAACTGTCAAAACTAGGTCAAAATTTTGCATTTTCAGAAACACTTAAACGCCATTTTCCCAAAAACGGCTCCACATTTTTCTTCAAACTTTTCGAAAGGATAGTAATAATTGCATCTTTAATATAACGTAAAGTTCATTTCGGAGAATTTTTTTTTAAATTACACAAATGTAATATTTTTTTTAAAGATATCTCAAGCCGTTAATATGCACATTTACAGCAATTTGTAAACACTATTGCATTTGTGAGTTAATATGCTTCAAATGTCTTGTAATAAAGTTTATCGAAAACTCAAAATTGTCTGTGCAAAATGCTTCAAATTTCGAATATACTGTCGATTTTTTTTTCGAATCCGAAAATTTCGAATATCTTAAAAACGGCTTCAATTTTATCAAAGAAAATTGCGAGAATGGGTTTTTACTGTTCTTTAATATTCTTTCAATAATACTTCCGTTCTACTATTAGGAAGCCTAAAAATTAAGAAATTTTCAAAAAATGAACTATGGGCAGCAGGCAAGAGCATGTGGCAAGTTCGAATAGCTAGCCAAGACCAAAGAAAATAAAAAAGTAGTACGGAAATCTGGGTCACTCCGTAGCACCACCAGGTAAAAATAAATTTGCGAAAACCTACTAATAGTACTCAGAACGTATTAAACTTGAAGAATTTCAAGTGAATACGGAGAAACTAAAACGGTAAGAAATGCTAGAGAATGAATGAACGTACTTATGTTCGATTTCATACTTTTACAATCTAAGATAAGGGTGCAAATACCGATTTCAAGTGAATGTAACCCACAACTTATTCTTATTAAACTTAACTAACACCTTATTCACATAAACATACAAAACAATCACCTTTTAATGTTAATGCAACACTAGATTTGCTTACAAAACAATTAATAGAGCAATGCAAATGTAGAAGTGATCACAACGTAGACGTAGTTGGTAGTTTTAATCTCTTCAAAATTTAGGGTAGAAAACTATGGAAGTGTTAAGGAAATCCGGGAAGAATCAATTGTTGTTGTAAAAGATATTGCGACAGATTTTCGAAACTAATTGGGAATGATGGGCATTTAATATTTATGCTAATGCAAATGTGCTATTGTACATTTTGGTGCATATCAGCAAAAAAAGCGTAAAAATGTAGTTACTTTATCGTATACATACGCATATACGGAGTATAGGATATGTAAGTTATATCCGTAAGTAATTAAGATATTAAGTAATATCCGTTGTATAGTTATGTAATGCTGTAAAAAAACCGGCGGATGTTCGATAGAGAAAATTAATTTCCTGGTCCTGAAAAAAAAAGTGAATAACTCCAGTTGCTAAATGAAGAGAAAAGTCTCTAACACTTGCTGTAGTCAGAATCTCTGTTTTGCGGGTCCTCGATACCGAAAAACCATTTGTTGGCAAAACGTTCGTCCGTCTGTCTTTCAGTCTGTGAACACCACTAGCACCTAAACCATACGTACGATTTTTTCCAAAATGTATATTCGCCTGTCGATCTGACTCCATTCAAGGCGCCGCGATTTTGAAAGCCTTTCTTCAAAATTTGGACAAAATTGCGCGAAAACTACAAACATTTTCAAAAAATGTACATAGCCTTAATGAAATATCTCACTACGGAGAACAAATTTTATTTCAAGAAAAAATCTCCATCTTCAATATTGTAGTTGTAGGAAGACAACGAAAAAATTCTTCCTTTTAAAATTTTGAAAATTCAGATCTATTCCATCTTTATAAGGGTATTTTACACTATTCTTACAGACAATTTAAAGAACAAATTTGGAGCAGTTTCTGAGAGTTTTTTTTTTAAATGTTCGCTAGTAGTGTTCACAGGTACACACGGACGGACAGACGGACGTTTTGAAAAAAACACTTTTTCGGTATCAGGGGACCCCAAAATGTGTATTTTCGCCGAAATCTCGAAATCGATTTTTGGCTGCATTACATTTACGTATACGGGAAATTTAAAATAATATGTAAATAATTTTGAATGATGATGATGATGATGATGATGATGTCAACCCGTTGAATCGTTAAAAGGGCATGGTCCTCCAGTCAGAACACAGGAGTAGTTTTGCTTATCCCTTTAGGTGAATCAGCCCTCAAGATATTGAACAATTTTATATTCTTTTATTAAATGAATATGATTAATAATCTTTTAGGAGAATTGACTTTAATGGATATTCGATCTTTGTCTCATTTTAACTTAAGGGAAAAATGACAAAACACGACCCTCCTATCCTTATTCTCTTAGACTGTACAGTTTTAAATTCCGTACCATTTCATCATAAAGGTTTTAAATATAAAAAATGTCCACTATTTTGTAAAGATAATGTGTAAAAGCGATAAAGAAAAAAAATACCTATATTAAAATTAAACATTAAGAATAATTTGTAGATCTGCTTTTGATGAATACATACACTAGTGGTGCTACAACAGCACATATTTTCTCGCGTTATTGGAAACAGCTACGTAATATTGAAATATTGCATTTTCTAGGCTACTTACACCTCAGCCGTTATTTCGAAACGTTGAATTCAACCAAGAACTGAGCAACACCGTTTTCAGCGCAGCGTTATCAAAACTATGTGCATTCGCTTGGCTAATAGTATCAATACAGTAATTATAATATATGCAATTGACATCAAAATAATTACGAACATTGGTGAGATGCCTTTCGTCGTAAGATAAGAGTTCTGATAGCGTTTCATTTCATCACCGGCGTCTACCAACCACACTTCAGATACGAGAAACACTATTGCTTTTCAACAAAGAGAGCGTCCGTGCTTTCTCGGAAGAGAGAAGATGACATAAACAAAACAAATATTACTCAAGCGCCTTCAAATCGATACGGCATTGTTGCGAAATTTCTATTAAGCTTTGAGGATTGCTTGAAAACAAATACATCAATACATCAAGATCAATCAATCAATTCAAATTCCAGGATCTGCAACATCAGCTGTAACGATAGGGGACTATCCTTTTTCGGAGAAAATCGGCTAAATAGTTTATGGGCTATCGTTGTGCACAGACGGACGGACAGACAGTCACCGGTTTTGCCGTCAATCAATTTTTAGGTATGAAGGACCCACAAAACATGGATCCTGGCAACACCACGTGTTAGAGAATTTTTTTCTGTATTAAGCAACTGGATTTATCCACTTTTACGTTACCAGGGTCCCCTAATAAGAATGTTTGTGTCCATTTTTCGCCGTTTTCTGGCGCACGATTTCAATACTTTCTCTTGTTACGTTAATAAGTAGGAGAAAGTAAAAATGTATATCTTCGTAATAGTAGTTGATGGAAGACGCCGAAAAAAAATTTGATTTTTTGTAAATTTAAAAAATCAGAATTTTGAACGAACATGAGACCTGCACATGAGGACACCTCTTAAGCGTCATTAACGCTATTTGAGGTCTAAATTTATTCTAAAAACTTGGTGTCTTTTTGAAAAAATAATTTTATTCAAAATTAAAAACTATCTATATTTCAGACAACTTAACGCAAAAAGAACTCAAATGTCCGAAACATTGTACATAACCTTATTTCAAAATCTATCTTTAAGAAACCAATTTCATTAATGGAAAAATCTCTATCCTTAACATTTTAGTTGTTGTAGTTTTAAAAATTGTTTGTACTTTGGCAATTTCCGAAAAATTGAGTATTTTAACGATAATGAAACTTGCACCTCTTAAACGCCATTCGCACTATCCTACAAAAATACAATTATTTACAAACGTTTGAGCCATTTTTTTAATTCTTGAAAAGGACTTCACGTAAAGAACCACCGAAAATTAAAACATAGGTTTCAAATTCAAGGGTCCGCATCTGCCAGTTCGATTGGGGCATATCAATTTTGGAGAAAATAGCCTGAAGGGTTGAACCGTTAGCGTTGTTCACAGGAAGACGGACGGACAGGTGTTTTCCGTCTATCGATTTTTCAGAATCAAGGATCCACGAATCATGAATTCTGGCTTCGCCACGTGTTAGAGGATTTTTCTAAATTTAGCAACTGAATTTATGCGTTTTTTCGTTTCGTTTCGGTAATAAGTTATTCTTTCAAAAATTCGCTGCTTTACCCATACCATTACATAACTTTCTCTACCTAAGAAGTAGCTTCTTAAGCACAAGAAAGTAAAAATACTGTGGGGATAAGACACCCCTAACACCTGTAGGTGAGTGAGTTTTTATGTTACACATAAAAATAAAATCGAGTATGCAACCCACAAAACAAATTAGGCGGATGGTTTGGGCCGGAACGCCCTCGGGGAACAGGAGAGAGGCTGGGTTGCGTAATAGAGGATTGTAATAAAACGCTTAGCAACGCCCACAAGTAGCTAGATTGCTATTACAAACCACGTTCATGCACGTTTTGTGCATGGCTCCCGTCGGTTTGTGTGCGGCGCAGGCTGACGCTGCAACCTAGCTACCGGCGCTTCCTGGAGATGTCGGAGGCGCTGGCGGAGCGGCTGCTGGACCTGCACGGCCGCCTGCTGGCGCTGTACGTTCTGCAGGACGCCGACTGCCTGCACTGGGAGGACGTGCGGCCCTTCTTTGAGGGAGAGCGCGGCTCCTTCGTCGTGCAGATGTGGTGGCTCTACATGCAGGGTGAGCGCCCGTGTTGCCCTCTGGACGCAGTCTGCTTCACTATATAAGTTTTATACTTCCTAATGCACGCTTCCGGATTTTCTTAGTAGAAACATAGCCCGCAAGTAGGCATACTAGCGGGCTATGGTAGAAATAGACACGATAGTTGCTTCTAAATTTGTAGGGTGATAATTCTTGGATCTACTTGTCCTGATCAATGGTTTGCAGTGGTTTCACAGCAATTCCCGAACAAACGAATCGTGCGCGATCTTTCTTTCCCCATCCACGTTCCAATCTCATCTCTTACACCCACACTTTCATGCGGTACACTGCCACACATGTCAGGAGATCATACTCTATATCTGGGGAAGGAATATGCTGGGGAAGGTACCTGGACGGAGAAACTCCCGCAAACTGACGTGTGGGTTGTATCGGGTATCACGTTGCAACGGGGGAAGGAACATCACCGCTTTCCGGGATATAACATGCGCTACACATACGGGACCAATGACGTAAGTAGATGACGCTTCCGGAAACATATTTCAGCTTCCCAAGTATGTAGCATTTACGAGTGCTCTGTTGTGGAACCGTTTTCTCCCTCCTCATCTCGGTTTTAGTATAGATTGCTCCTAAACATCTCTGTGCGCATTAGCCTTGCACGCCTAGAAGAAATCACGGGGATCAATGCTACTTCGACCAACGAGAAATTTGGAAATAAAGTATGTGGTGTTGCGGAATAACTATTCTTGTGATAGCGAACGCGAAAGAATCGTAAATTACGTGACGTGTCAATTAGTTCGATCAAGGGTGGCGGCGCGGCGTGCTTCCTATACATTTCTTTCTTTGCTTCCCAGGTCATAGGCGTGAGAATATATTAATCGTGCATAGTTATGGAAATTTCGAAATGACATATCTCTTTTGCAGCAAACACGTAATCATTTGCAACACTAATTTCCATAGCGATGTTGAAAGATAACTTTCCTACGCCATCCTTCGCACCAAAACCAATTTAGGATGCATAAGTAATCATAATTACTCTTAAAACGTGTCGTGATATAATGCCCGATGTATGCTTATTCCTTCTCCATTGAATTCAACAACTGAAGATCAGGCAATAAGCACACCATCTATTTCAATTTTATATCTCATAAACTAGGTTCTCCATTCCCCATTCTAATGCTCTCTTGATTGACTAAAGATATTTAAATAGTCCCATATTTAGATAATAAGGCTTCTCATTTCGTCTTGTGCAATTTTACTTTTTACGCAAAATAACGTAATAACTGAAACATTTCAACCACTCGTGTTAAAACACTCCTTACACTTTATGTAAATGGTATTAGAAATTTGAGCGATGTGGTCATTCATTCAACGTTCGAAATCCCCATCCAACGATCTGAAATTACCCTTCAGATCTCTGAATCATTTCTTCGGAATGAACGAAGTTGAATCATTTCTTCGGAATTGAACAGTTTTAGGATTTAGAGGGTATTACAAATCTTGTTGGAAAGAAACTGTACATTCAATTTTGAAAGAAGGAAAGGTATGCAAACTTTAATGGGAATTCAGTTATTTTGCCAAGGGCAATTTTTTAAGGGTATGTTTTCACCTTTTTATGTGTATTGACATCAAGTTATTAGCAATTATCATATGATTAACGAACACATGGTTTTTATCTCGACACGTAGGTGCATTACTCTCGCCTTGTAAGGTCATCCTTCGGTGTTTAGTAATGGGGTAACCTCCGTGCGCCCGTCCGTCCTATAATTGCGATTAGATCTCTCCCGGTCCACCATTCGGAACAAGAAAGCTGTCATTCGACACGAGTCAGTCTACGGGGGGAGGGAGATGTTTTTCGCATTCTTCTAGAACATTCCAAGAAAATTCTCAAATAAGTTTTTTTAGGGGGGTGTAAGTACCTAAAACGCGTTTTGGGAGCTTTTTAACGCACCTAAAAAGGGAATCAGTAACTCATTCAATTCGTCTTGATTAAAACAATTTTGACTGTATCCTTCTACGAGTATATTATTATGGAGGAATTAAATAAAATCCTGTTTTTGAGGGTTTCAGGCTACCTAATGCGATTCTATCTATCTGATAAAACCTGAATCGTGATTTATCAGATGATTTACCAGATGGACTATAATTGAAATTAATTTTTAATGAAGACTTGTTTTTAAGACTATTTCTGTCGATTCTTTTCTGTGTAACTTTCAATGACTTAGGATGAACGAGCCAGGGAACTATCATGTTCACAATTCCTTTTATCACGAACTTCTAGAGTACAAATAAAAAAAAGCTAACAATAAAATGTCCCCGGTGGCACCAGTTATCTAATATTATTTTGTTGGCTCTCGATAAGACAGTTACTTCCCTCTGAAGGTCTATAGCCGTCCCTAACTGTACTCAATTGCATTACTCGGAACCTGCATTTAAATCAAAAGTCAACGGCAGAGGTTGCTCAGAGCAACAACACATTCTACTACTTACATGCACCACACTGTCACACTTGTCGGGTTACCAGTCAAAAGCTTAGGGCTTGACCCGGTTAGGCTATGTTTCTCGGAGATACATAGGAGAGACCCTCGGACCCACAGATACCTGGAAGGAAAGACGTGTAGGTCAGCACTTACCTCACGTTCTAGTGGAGGTGGAACACCTCCATTTCCCTGGGTATAACACTCTACACTGACGGGGACTAATGACCGTAGCATTTGAGACGCCCGGAAACACGAACTAATCAATGAAATGGCCATTTAAAGCCGTTTCAGCCCACCAGATGCTCCTAGTTAGTGGCGCGGCGCGGTGTTGCAGGCACGCGCGAGCACCTGTGGAACACGGTGCCTCCGCAGACGGCGCAGCGGGTGCTGGCGGGCATGCTGAACGAGTCGCTGGCCGTGCTGACGTCGCGCCTCAGCCAGGCCGCGCCGTCTCACGCGCGCGCGCCGCAGCTGCTCACCGACGCCGCCAACGTGCTCCTGTGCTGCCGCCACCTGCTCGCGTCGGTGCGTCGCGCTCTTCAATAAATTGCTGCATCCCCTTTTTTTAAAAGATAATCACCACCACCGTTTGAATGTTTTAAGTTCCCTGTCTTTATTGAAAGGTCGTATATATTTTTAACTTATCTTGGTCGGATTATTAACCAGGAGTATTTGGTTAGTATGGGTTTGTGGGTTTGTCCCTCTGCTATTACTTTGGATTGTATCCACACACACACACACACACACACACACACACACATATTTACTAACCAAATCTGCCTTGTGAACGGCTGGCGCGGGCGTTCGCTCTATGGTAAACATCGATAATGACAAAGAATTATTTGACTGATTTGTCACTTCTATCACTCACTTGCGTATTTACAATGATTACGGGATTTTGACTAGCTGGTTATAGTGTCGCGATCACACCTCTAATTTAACGTCGAATGCAAGTAGTGACTAAAGGAGAATGGACGTTGTAGAGAAATGAAAGAAGTTATTCAGTCAACACAATTTCTCTAGTTTAATATCTGAATAAGCACACACAAAAAACGAAAGTAATTAGCTCATTTTCCAAAAACAACGTATTATAATTACTTTACTATAATTCTATAACTCATATATACGTATATATATATATATATATATATATATATATATATATATATATATATACACACACACACAAGTTTTGCCCGAAGGACTGAAACATAAACCACGCCATCACCCCTTTGTTGTTGTTGTCCTCGATGTCATTGACCTGACCAGCTGGTCCGGCCTTTTCTCCGGCGTGAAGGTCGTCGGAAGGTCGGGCAGGCTGGTTGGCTGGGCGTTTCAGAGGGCGGTGTGACCTCCGGCCGCAGAGCGCTTCTGCATCCTCGCGCCCCCCTTTCAGGGCTGGCACGAAAACGAGTTTCTCCCTCCGAGCACTCTAATATCGAGTCAACAAGTGTTCTTAGGCCGGATTTTTTCTAATCATTCTCAATTTTCGCGACACTTAGTAAAATTCACCGGAATAGTAGCTTTACGTAGTTTTAATAAGTTCAATCACTGTCCTTCAATCAGGGAATTACGCAAGCAGAAACTTTGTGTTACGAAATAACACATTTGTTCATTTCTTTTGGCGTCACCTATGAGAATAGAATTAGAAAATTTGGATATCTTCCTGTCGCCACTGATTTACCGACGGGCAGTCAAAAGTGAAGTGTCCCGACGGGCAGTCAAAAGAGTAGCGTTTCTTACGACAGCCCAACGACAAGTGCCCCTCAAGAGAGTCGACCAAGACGTCCGCTTCTTGTGACGGTCAAGAAAGAAATAGATGCAGCCGGTAGAGAAACATGCACCTCTGCTCTCCCCACCCTTTTGTTACAGAAATTTTTAGATCGCTCTTAAATCGAATGAACACGTTTAGCTATTGGCTTAGACTCACTGAAATGCAATTAAACCTCAGCCAATCATAGAAGACGCCTCGGGGGTTCCTTCTGGAAAATTCCATTATCTCCATCCTTGTTCCTCACACTGTTTACAAAACGCGTTGCTGTACAGTTTGCGCGTTATCGTTGTCGGTGGGCCAAAACTTTCCATTACTAGGCGTTAATAGTCGCCAAGTCGCAATCCTCGCCATCATCGGCAGTCTGGCGTGTGCCAGAGATGGCGAAGGGTGCAGCTGCCTTTTCCCCGGCACTCAGCCTTTCATAAACAGAGGGGATGCGGTCTCGGCGGGCGCCGCTTGTCTCTACTGTGAATGCTCACAAACGTGGATGCCCGAAACGTCCGTCTCTCTGTCAGTCAGTGAACACCACTAACACCTAAACTATAAATAGGATTTTTTTTCCAAAATGGATGTTTCCCGGTTGACCTGTCTCCACTCACGGCGCGCCGCGATTTTGAAAAACTTTCTTTAAAATGTGGGGGTATTATACATGTAGTACCCCGGACATTTTCAAAATTTTCTCAAATAGTTAATTATGAATTTTCGAAAACTGCAGGAGTTTGAATTTTTCGGCGTCTTTTTTAGCTATAATATTAAAGATAGAGGTTTTTCCTCCAAATTAAATTTATTGTCCATAATTAGTTCTTTCGTGGATGTCATAATCTTTTTATAACTTTTATAAGTTTTCGTGCAATATTTGCAATTTCAAAAAATAACAAATAGAAGATTTTGTTCAAAAACGGCTCCAAATTTTTCCTTTAAACATTTCGTAGGGATAGTGCTAAATGTACTCTATGAAATGACATAAACGCAATATTTAGCAAAAATTAGAAAATTAATTTTTTGACGTGTCTCACGTCGTTAGTATTAATATTAGCGGTGATTTGTTCACACTATTAATTTTATGAGTACATGTGCTTTAAATAATGTCATAAAGTTTCGCGAAAACTCAACCATATTCAGTGAAAACTAGATCAAAATTTCGTATTTTCAGAAACGCTTAGATGCCATTTCCTCAAAAACGGCTCCAAATTTTCTCTTTAAACTTTTCGACTTCAAGAGTGCTAATTTTACTCTTTAATATGACGTAACGTTAATTTCGGTGTATTTTTTGTTTTATTTTTTCAATAATTACACAAATTACAACTTCTGGAAACTTGTATACGTTAAACTCTTACATTGAATCTTTCGTGGCAGTTGACATGCAGGATTCAGCCAAAGCCAACTAGCGGACAGGTACTACCCTAACCTGCTTTGGTGCCCTAGTCACTGCCCAAGTCAAAGTGAAATTATGATCCAATTGATTATAAATAATATTCCACGTAAAAATACTGATAATAACAGAAATGAAAACTGTCGTGCATAATGTAATATTAAAACCAATTTTAATGTACGCAATCGAAGGAATCATTTACTAAAACGATTTTCAATGATTAATAGTATAAACCTGATATAAATACTTGGTTAGTAAACTTCCCTGTGGCTGGTCAAGAACCTGTATCATAATGAAATGTGTATTGTAATGAGTATTATGAAACGGGTTGCAGCCATCAAACGAAATAATTGTACAACGGGAGTATTTTCAGCTCCTTCCCCACGGTCGTGACGTGATGCGTGCGTAGGTGTGCAGCGAGGGCGCCGAGCTGGCTGGGCTGCCGGCGGCGGCGGCGGGCGGCGGCGCTGGGGGCGGCAGCGGGGGCATCGGCGCGGGGGGCGGGGCGTCCGGCGGCGGGCGCGTGCCCCGCGACGTGCACGCCAAATGCGCCGAGCTCCTCGCGGTGCTGCTGGCGCGCGGTTCGCCCCTGCACTCGCTCTACAAGGTGAACTGCCAGGCGCCCCAGAGAGGCTGCATGCGGCGTGTCTATTGCGATAGCTGGATTCAAATATGTTGCGTTCAAAGTAGATTGCAGATGCAAACTACTCAATGAATGCATGTGGCCAGGCTCGTATTTGGTGGTAGGGTGAAGGGCATAGAGCTCCTGCCGAAATAAAATAATGCTTCATGCGGTTCCACTAGTTCATGGTTATATCTTTTGTCATTTGCGAATATTAACCGAACTAAGTTTATTTTTATAGGTTTCCGAATATCGTGGATGATACTATTTTTTATTTCTCGTTGATTTTCAAGCGTGAAAATGTAATAATCTTCTTCAGAAAAATATTTTATTAAAATAGTAGACTTGTCTTGAAATGTTCACTCGTTGTGTTCCCTTTGAAAGATCCTCCTGATAGCATTGTACGTTACGACATATAAATATCGTGTTTGAGATCTTCCTGTGTGGCAGGTGTTCCGCAAGGGCTTGGGCGGTGTGCCCGTCTTTTCCCCGCGCGACCACCGCCTCCCCGCGGCGTGGTTCGTGCTGACGGCGCCGCACCTCTTCGGCGGAGACTCGGCGTCGCCAGGCGCCGCGGCGCCGGTGGGGCAGCTGGCCGACGGACCCGCCATCGCCCTGGAACTCACCGTGCTCGTGGCTCAGCCGCAGGCTTCGTGGCCGCTCTTGCTCAGGGTGAGGAGAAGGCAGCGACTTACGTGCAAAGCGGTCATCATTTGAATCAAGGAGTGCGCGGAATATGTTTTAGGTGGAATTGGCGATAAATCCGATTGGATGAGGCATGGGAAGCCTTTTGTTCTGGTGAAAAAATTTTCGATACAGATATAGTCATCTACAACAATATCTTATTGCTTAACTTTACGAGTCAGTAATGAATGCTGAAAGCTTCAGTCTATATGCCCTTTTTGGATTCGTATTCTTTGTTGTAATATCGATCACAAGAAAACTTTCTGAAACATATCCAGTTTTACATTCTAGTGTATTTTGTAGGGTATTTTCCACCTGAAGCTAAATTACTCTACGTTTCAAGAGGGTGTACTGGAATTTGCGGGATCCTCGGATCTGGAGTCAGCTGAACACGAAGCCCTCAGCGTCGCAAACCTTGGTGCTGATGGCCAAGGGGCTGGCTTTCTTTAAAATATACAAATATAGTTGTATGTATTCATGTTCTAAATTAAAGCAATTAAATGTGCTTTAAGTGCGTGCACACAGGTGCTGATGATGCGAGGCTGTCGCGTGGCTGCTGTCATCTTGCGAGAGCTGTCGCATCGCCTGCCATCGCCGGAAGCCAGCCCCGAGCACCGGCCTAGCAAAACGAACCCCAAGACGAGCACTGCCAGTACATCTAATGCGGGTATAAAATATGTTCAAGTTTGAATTAACCAATCTTAAACTTCAAATGTCACTAAGAAATGCGTTTTTTTTTTCAATTCTTGATTATTACATGCTTAACGTGGTTAGAGCGAGATATTCCTTAGCAGATAGAGCGTCCATATTATATTCAAAAATATTTATATGCGAGACAGTGGGTGTTGTGAGACTTAAATAAACAAAATAGGGACTCTTGTAAAGAGTTATTTATATACAAATGAATTTTATTTTATAGATCGAAAAATATTTCAATACTACACAAACACCTACCGATGTCTAGGTTCTTAGTTGGAACCAACAAATCGCGTGACTATGAAATGAAAAATTTCGGCGTAAGATTAAATGTAAAAAAGTTACTATTAAACAATTAGCCAGAGTAAAACTAAAAAAGTAACATTATAGTAGTATTTCTATATATCTTTTACATGTAAAAATATATAGATATACGACTATAATGTTATTTATATATAAAATATATATTTTTTACATGTAAAGATATATAGATATACCACTATACGAGTATTGTTCCTTTTTTTGTTTTGCAAGTAGTGCTAATTGTTTAACAGTAACTTTTTTTACATTCAATCTTTTGCCTGCAACTGTTATTATTTTCGTGTGCAGTGATTACCAATAATGGCCAATCTTTCCTCATCTGAGAAGGGCGTAGTTTTTAGTATATATCGCAACGCCGTAATGTATTTGAGATTTGCCATACTAACTCATTGCTCATGCTTGTTCAAATTTTCGTTGTTTTGAGCCACTTTGAATACTATTGTTGCGGTAAACTATTTCTGAGCGAATTGGTGTAAGATTTGTTTCCAAAGCGGAATTCGAGAGAAGACGAAAGTGTTCTACGCATGTTCAAGAAAGGCCCCCGATGGAGAAGCCGTACGCGCACAGTGTTGTCGAATGGGGCGTTACCGCCCCGTCCCTCTAGAAAGCGTGCGAATGTCTCCCTTCGGAGTGATTTACGCATACAATTTTGCAGAATTGTCGCATTTGAAACGGTACATGTCCTTTAAATTGATTCTTCGAGATGCTAGCTATCTATGGAAGAGTTTTTAAAAATATTTTCATCAGTCAGTTTTCCCACAATTTTAAAATTTCTTGTTGGACCCGTGTTAAAACGACAAACTTTACGGTCCCATTTCGCAAACACTAGACGAAGAAATCAATTCAAATTCTACCAGAACATAGACGAACCTCTCTCATCTTTCGATTAATACAATGAAAAAGGACGTTAACCACAACAGGTATCTCACTATAACCACCTTAAATCAGACAACATTCTCTTGGGATGCTAGAAAAGTAAATGAAATAATTTAGTAATGTTAACAAGTAACTTCTGCTTGTATAAGAATCTTGGGGAAATATCTACAGAGTTCTGAAAGATAGTGTAACTTCTGCGAGGAAATTTTACAATATTATCTTAAACAATGACATCCAATACGGCACTTCAGGAGAGATACTTTCTTCAAGGACTGAAACAAATCACTCGGGAACGTTCTCGAAAAAGTCAAAACACTTGTTTTATAAGTTCATATGTTTTTATTTACACATTACAGCCAAGATTTATTTTTTCTTAACTCAGACATTTTAAGACAAATTATCTTATTTAAAGAAACGTCAAAAAAGTACCTTGAAGAACCAAAAAAACTTGTAAGCCATGCGTATTCAAATAAAGAGATCTGGACCCAATCAAAGTACGTCGGAGTCTGGCACAGTCGTTAGATAGGTTACTGCTGCTACAGTAGAAGGTATGACCTGCCCAGAACAGAAAATAATGAATTGCGGAGACAGGGTTGAAAGTTTTATGCCTGCGCAGGCGCGGGTGCGGGCGAGGCGGCGGAGGCGGAGGCGGCGGAGGCGGAGCGGTGCGGGGGCTTCCTGTGCCCCGGGGGCGGCGAGTGCGCGCTGCGGGCGGCGGGCAAGGGCGGGCGCGCGCCGCTGTCGCCGGGCGCCGTGGTGGAGGCGTGCGCGCACGTGGTGATGGTGGCCGGCGGGCCTCGCGACCTGGCCGCGGCGCTGCTGCCGGCGCTGGAGCAGCGCGCGGGCGCGGGCTGGGCGCGCTGCCTCGACCGCTCGCAGCTGTGGAGCCAGCGCCGGCCGCCCTGGCTGCGCGCGCTGCTGCGCCCGCTGCAGGACGCCGTCGCGCCCGCCGCCGACACGCTGCTCTTCGCCGTGCAGGTGCGCGCTTCTTCTTCCTCTTCTTCTTCTTCTTCTTCTTCTTCTTCTTCTTCTTCTACTTCTTCTCCTTCCTCTTCCTCCTCTTCCTTCGCTTTTTTCCTCGCCACCCTCATCTTCTTCTTCCTTCCCTTACTTCTTCGCCACCCTCATTTTCTTCTTCCTCTTCCTCCTCTTCCTTCCTTTCCTTCTTCGCCACCCTCATCTTCTTCTTCCTCCTTTTCCTTCCCTTCCTTCTTCGCCACCCTCATCTTCTTCTTCCTCTTCCTCCTCTTCCTTTCCTTCTTTCCTCGCTACCCTTCTCCTCTTCTTCCTCTGTCGCCTTTTCTTTCTTTATCCTCCTCCTCTTTTCCTCATTTTCTTCCTCCTTTTCTTTTCTCTTCCGTAATCTTCCTCACCCTTTTTCTTTCTTCTCCTCGTCTTATTTGTCCTCCTTTTCCTTCTACTTCTCTTCCTCATCCTTATTTTCCTTTTTCCTCCTCCTTCTCCTACTCTTTGTCTTAGCACGTCGTCTCCAAGCCGAGGTTTGTGATCTGCGTAGCTAAGAGTTTGATTTGGCAGTACGAAAAGCTTCCAGCTGAACCATTCTCTAATATTCATTACAAATGATTTCTTCAAATTTCCAATAGATCTTTTCCCATTTCCCTTCAATTTAGTAGTTTATTGTTTAATTAATGTAATTAATTCTTTTCACCTTTCTAAATATTGTGTGTCTTCTCCATTGAGAACTATTTCCACCTGGCATATGATAACCATGCGACCGCAAAGTCTAGTGTTTTTTCGGCTTCAGGATGTGTCGCTCTGGCCCTATTGAACCAGATTTTACATTGGTTATATCCAGCGGTTACTGATATTTCAGTTTTCTAAACAAAAGAGGGATCATTAGACGGAAAATAAATACAATTATTTGTCTTTCATCGTACATATAGCAAAAGAATAACAGCCTGCAACGCTGTAACGTCTTAAATAACAGTAATCACGAAATGACATTTGGTGTAAAAATCTTAAAATGAACAATATTACAACAGTATAGTAAGCAATAGCGAAGTGTAGTGGGGGCAGCAGGGACGGCACATCTTACTCACTGTAGCGAATGACGTGTCTGTACGCCGTCTGTACTGACTCGTAGGGATTCCCCGTATTTTATTTTATTTACATGTCTCAAAGTAACTTGTGGCTTCATAGGTGATTTTAGTTTTTGAGATGTAGCAATTTGTGTAATCCCGAGCAGCGTCGTTCGACTATACGGTTTCGCAACTTCGCGATAAATTATTTCCTTCTCCGGGTTTGTTAAACAAACGCAGCTTTTTTGAGTCAGTTTTGCCTTTATTAACACAGTCAAACCTACCTAATGAAAACAAATCACCTTGAAATGCAAGCAACTAAATATGATGGAATTTTCTTTGGCAAATATAACTCGGCGTTCTTGTATTGTCTTCCAAATTTGTCTCTAGCTTGGAGAATATATGCCATCGTTGGCAAATAAATTCACTATTCTGAGAGCTTCAAAGTATTTCTAACGAGTTAGGATTGAAAGAATACCTAGAATACACGTTTCTGCTAAACAAGTTTGAATACCCCTAATGTGGGATTTTTTTCCAAAATCGTCTAGTTAAAACTTAGCTCATGAAAAAAGTAAGCTCTAGGTGGATGAAATTACGCATTCAGAAACAATGTAATGTTGTTATTGTAACGTATTACCCAGCGTGCCTCGTGGCATCTATTTGGGGACGCTTGGTAGAGGATTAGCCTAGCCACAGGAAGTAGG